TTGTTTGGCATTTATGTTTCTACAATGTTTTATTATGTAGTAATGGGAGTTTATGCAACAACTTCAATTCATAAACTTTGTAATTTTGTTAAAGTACGCTTTTGAAGTACCTATGTTTTTAGTTGGAGATTTTAATGAGACTTTACACACCAAATAAAAAAGTAGTGGTTATAAAAATGCAGTAACTTCAGTTCATGAACTTCATTCTTTATGAAATAAATGTATTTTGTTAAAGTATACTTTTAAAGTCACTATGTTTCTAGTTGGAGATTTTAATGAGACCTTACATGCCAAAGAAAAAAGTAGTGGTTATATAAATGTAGTTAGCTTAAAGGATTTTAAGTATTTTCTTACAACTTATAACTTGAATAAATATCATTTTATCGGGCATCGTTATGCTTAGTTTCTGGGTAGATTAATGAGAAGAATAGACCTGGCCTTTGCATTTCCAGCTTGTTATTTATAGTTCCTATTTATGTCTTTAACCTGATAAGTTAAAGTTCTATCCAATCACTTTCACATATTGTGGTTTCAAACCTTTTTGATTCATTAATTGTTGGATTGCCTTACCACAATTTATGAAAGGTCTTACAGTTTGGAGAGAATATAGTTTAACATATCCTAGTAGATTTAACTTGGTCAGAAAATTGAGTTTAATGGCAAAAAAAATAAAATAAAATTCAAGATTTAAAATCATGAAGTCTTTAGCAATTAGAATAATAAATTATTGGAGTTACAAGGTAAAATAAAGAAGTTAGAAGAAGACACGGAGGTTTAGGATCTAATAGAATCTATGAGGGCTGAATTATATGATTTGAGTACATGATAATGAGAAGTTTGTAAGCATGTAAAAGCTATTTAAAGATTAAAATATAGGCAGAATTGGTGTAAGTTAGGAGAAAAAACACGTTTTTCCATCTCGTAGAAAATTTTAGGAAATCCTAAAATTCTATTATAAATATACTCATGATGGGATCACTCACACCTCACCATGAAGTATTAAAAGTTATTATCTAAATCACAGTCATATAAAGGCATAATAGCAGTTGTGGGATTTAAGACACTAACTCTAGAGTGATCTACTTGGATGGAGTAGGATGAATATTTAGAGAAAGTATAACATGCTATTTGGGATTACAATAGGTCAAAGGCTCAGGACCAAATGGTTTTATATTTGTTTTGTTTATGAAAGCATGGAATTTAATTGGAAAGGAAATAGTTTAGACGGTTAAAGAATTATTCAAGAGAAGTAAACTTTCTAAGGTGTCAATACTTCATGTGTTGTTGGAAATATTGTTCTATTTCCAACAAACTAAGATTCCCACAATACTTTCATATTATAGACATATTAGTCTAATGTATGGTTAGTATAAAATTTTAGCTAAAGTGCTCTCAACCACATTGATAAAACTTATGCCTAGTATTATTAGTGCTAATAAAACAACTTTCATAGGAGGAAGGTAAATTTTAAATGGCTTTACAATTGAAAATAAAGTAGTACATGGGGTAAAAAAAAGAGGATCATGAATTCATCTTGGAAGGTGATTTTCATAAGGATTTGGACTCAATATTATAGAAGTATTAAGATGAGGTGATGAAATATATGAACTTCAAGAGCAAATGGAGATCTCTAATTCGTGAATGCATCTCAAGTTCAAAACTTGTCATTATGATTAATGGCTCAACAAGTTAAGATTTTGGAGTGGAAAGAGGTTTAAGAAATGGTGGTTAGCTTTCACCTTTTTTATTCGATATAGTAGTGGAAGGATTGTTAGTTCTATTTTAGAGAGCTTTTTTAGTTGGTTATTTCAAAGGAATAGACTCTGGCTGAAGAGATTTTTTTGTAGAATGCAAATGATACTCTAGTGTTTGCTCTAAATGATTATAATTTATATCTACATGTTAATAGGATCTTAAGATGGTCTAAGCTAGCTTCAGTTCTGGAGTGAACTTTTACAAAATTTCATTTATTGGAATAAATATGGATGATGCTTTCATGGCTGGTATGGCAAATTCCATTTATTATAGATAGGATACATTTCCTTAAGGTACCTAGGCGTTTCTTTAGGATATAATCCCAAAAGCACATCAATATGACAACTCTTTAGAATAATCTTTTGTATTATAGAAAGATTTGGAAGATGGAAAGGAAAGCTTTTGAGTCTAGCAGGTTAGATCTGTATGTTGGAAAATGTATTGAACTCTCCCCTACTAATACTATATGTCAATATTCTAATGCCAAAAAGGGTAGATCAAGTCATCACTTTAATTGAAGGGAGATTTTTATGGTTTGATACATATGATGTAAGAAAGATTAGTAAGGTGTCTTAGAATGTAGTAGTGAAATAAAAGAAAAGAGACGATTTAAGAGTGGGTTCTTTGGAGGTTAAAAATAAAGCTTTACTTTTCAAATATTAATGGAGGTTGGGTAATCAAAATAAAGGAGAATGACAAGATATTGTTAATAGAAAATATCAAATTGTTTTTTTAAATGGTCTCTTTTTGTATATGCATTCTCTTTCTGACACATGGTCTGATACATATTCCATCATACATAATAAAAAGAAAGTCTCCATAGTTTTGAAGAATTGTTGTCACTATGTAGTTGGCAATATGAAGGATATTTATTCCTAGACTGATTCTTGGTTGGAATATGGATCCTTAAAGCTACAATTTCCATAATTGTATGCTCTATCTAAGCACTACAAACAATCATTTTAGAGGTGGGAAATTTCTTTAATGAATCATGGTATTGAAACTTATCTTGGAAGAGAAACTTAAGGCCTACGAAATTGAATCAGCTACTAAACTGATTGAAGGAAAATAGTTAAAGCAGAATATAACAGATTCTAAATGTTGGGAACCAGAAAAAGTGTTTACGCTGTCAAATCTTGCAACTTCATTGATTAAATTGCTTACCTTGGTACGTCTACAATTCCTTTTAAATTGTTATAGAAAAGAATAGTACCTCCCAGAGTTGATGTTTTTATTTGGATTTTACTTCATGGAAGAGTATGTACCAAGGAGTTTCTTGTTCGAAGACATTTACTGTATTTGGAGGAAGCAATATGCCCTTCTTATTTGGAAGTATTAGAAACTACGAATCATCTTTTTTTACGTTGTTTTGTTGTTTAGAAACCGTGATACCAATTTTTGATATGGTTGAACTTACAATGGTGCATGTAGATGCTTAAGTGGTACTTCCTTGAAAAATGAGAGTTTCAACATAATGCAATTTTAATGCTAGCTTTTGGTATTGCTTGTGGAATCTGGTTGGTTAGGAACAAGTTAGATTTTTCAAGTAGAGTTTACGGATTGGGATACAAAGTTTGAGTTAATTCCTCATTGTCTAGCTTTATGGTTGAATACAATTGTCAAAAACTTTCAATACATGAGATTTTATTTGTTTAAAGGTTCAGAACGTATTCTCTCTTGGTCTTGGACAAATAAGTAGAGTTCTATCAATATTGATTACAAGCATAGTTTTGTACATACTTCTTAGTTGTTTCTTTTTTTTTACTTCCTTTTGTTAATAGACAATTGTGTTATTTTTCATGCTAGTTTGCCAAATCCTTGTGGCACTAGCATCCATTAATAAATTCCTCAATTATTATATATATGCCGTTGTAAGTAAGACAATTTCCCAAGTAGCTAATAACATCATGAACCATCCTTTATATATTTTACTCATAAATCATAACTTTTAATACGCATCTTTTTGTCTAAAACTCATGAGTCTTTGGTATTACTCAACAAATACAAAAAAGTTAAAGCCTAGTGTTTGAATTACTTTTAAAGTCTATATTCGAAGTATATTCGAAGAGTTATTTTAGTTTCCCAACATGCATGTATAATTATTAAAGATATATTTATCATTTTAAGTCTCTTGGATTATTACTAGACTAATACATATATATAAGTTAAGAATATTATAATCTAAGTCCAAGTCCATTAGTACTTACTCCCTTAGATAAGATATATGATATGAAAGAGAGAAGTTTTTCATCATGCTTCCCTTCTCCCTTCAATTATTTCATACAAAGTATCAAAACTAGTTCGATTTAGTAAGGGTGTTTAGATGGATTATAGCATATGCGTAGAAGAAATAGAGAAATCCTAAAAGAGAGTGGACAGAAAAGTGACATCTAAAACCTTGAAGATGCAAGATGATTAGAGTCTAATAAGAGTATTCAAGACCTTGCATTAAAAGAGAGAGAGAAAACCTAAAATAGAGGTTTAGTTCGAGTTGACAAGTCATTGCACAAGAGAAAGTGTGGGACAAAGGAGATCACACCTAAAGAAAGAAAAGAAATTTCTTTATAAAGAAAGAGATGAAAAATGGTAAAGGAACCATGACAAGAAAAAGAAAATAACCTGATCAACAATGAATCAAAATGAAATGGCTACTTAAAAAGCCAAATCTTGAAAGAAAAATATATGGCAAAAGAAATATGACCGTAGTCATAAAAGGATAAAAATAAATAAAAATAATTATCTTAAGACAAATAGAATTGTTGAAGAAAAGCAAATTGAAAAGATGATAATGAGATGTTATTAATAAGTCATAATGAAAAGAGTGGATTAGAGAAAGATGCAAGAAAGACCTTAGATGGAAAATCTATAAATAGTGATACCAATGTGGTTGTCCCCGAAAATAAATAAAGAAGACATTGAAGTTTTTGTCATCAACAAGAGTCGAGAAAGGTGCATTACGCATGACAAAATGATTCTCCAACATATTGCAAGATAATCCTCCATTTTTCTAAATTTCAAGAAATACAACATTTTCAATATTGAGTGGAAGTGTTGGAAATAATTTTGAAGTATACATTAGTATTTTCTTAGTTCTCCTAAGTGTATATATAGTTATTAAAGATATGATTATGTTTTTAAGTCTCTTAAATTATTTTAGACTATGTATGAAGAATATTATAATCAAAGTTCAAGTCTATTGAGATTCTCTCTTTTAGAATAGTAATATAATATGAGAGAGAATTATATTTCTTAGACAAGCTCAAACTCAGGACATCTAGATTACTCCACTATATATGGATAAAACTTGCCTGTAAAGGATTAATGACAGCATAATACTACATAGAACACTAATCAAATAAATTACTTATTCCATCATAATATGATTCCATGAGAAAACACTCCTCGTTTCTAGCGTTTCGACTCCTGATTACAAAATCAGATTCTCTGTCAGTTTTCTGATTGTGTTGCTCGCAGCCATTTCCATTATTCACCAGAACGAGGCTCTCCTTGTAAGCAAAAACTCCTACGCACCGAACCCACCTAGTTAATCCAAGACCACTTATTTCTTGAGTGCTGGGATCACATAAGATTAGTTCACCAGAGTCAGAAACCAAAATCAGTTTATTGTTCTTCCAATGCCCAATCGGATACGAAATTTCTGGAAGAGGCCCAATAGAAATTTTTTTTACCCAACACCTCTCATTCAGTGTCCACATATGAAGAAACTTCTCTTGAACATCCAATATAGCGAGGGAGTCATGGTACGTTGCAAGACACTGACGATGAAATGACTTGCCACAATCTGGTAGCTGTATCTCTTGGCAGATTTCCGTAGCCATGTCAAAAGAAATAATCACTTCAGGATCTCCACATATTCCATATGACCCCAACCAGAAAAATACTCCATTCATACAAATGTAACATTTATTATTTTGCAAATAATAATAACGTGATAAATCTCCCCAATGTCTCCAAGAACCGGTACTAGATGAGTACACGAATACACGTAAAGGATACCTGCCTCCCCTTTCTTCCTGTTTTTCACGCCGGCAATCTTTCATAACCACCACTTCGTAATCTTTAGTTACTGGATGTAATCCAAAACCATAAGCATCATGTTGTGGACTATAAGAAAAATTGGATGGAGGATTGGGTAAGGGAGGTAAAAATTTTAATTCATCAACTGCGGGGTTCCAGAGAGCACGAAAATCATACCAATCGCGATACATATAATAAAATATTCCATCACAAGGACCACAAAGAAATGGACTGCGAAACGGCATGTTACCTAGCGAGGCGTATGATAAAACTCTAGGTGTCTCGTCGAGCAACACCTCAAGCGATTCAAGTTCACCCGCTTGGGTTATGCAATACTGGACAAGGAGGCAGTCGCTGTCACTTTTGCTATAGTAATTTCTTAGATGCTTGGATATGAAATTGGGACTTGTAATGACAGCACACCATGATTTGCAAACACACTTGAATTGCAATAGATTTTTCACGGGCAGTCGTGATAAAATCTCAATTACCACATCTTCAGGCAAAGGATGGCCAGTCATGGTTGTCATTACTACTGACATCTCCCGTTCCTTTTTGTCTCTAAAAAAAAACAAATGGTTATCTTGCCAAATACGTAAATTAGGAATCCCACATAAAAAAAAATATCAATCCAAAATATGATAGCCCAGATTAAAAGATAAAAGATCTCACCTCTCTTTTAAAATGGGAGTTAACCTATCGCGGTATGGCGAAGCATAACGGCTTAAGGAAAGAGCCATCCCTGCCCCCGACACAATAAATGTTTAGCAGGTGTGTATTTTTTGAAGTAAAAGAAGCAGGAAATAATATTCATGGATTAACAAGGTAAAATAACAGTTAAGACAAGAAAGTAAAGAATTTTTAAGGATTCAAGAAATGAGACCTCCAGAGACGATTGAGAGAGGCTTCAACGATCTTTATTCTTCAACCAACTAGATTAAGAATTGCGAGAATGAGAAAGAACTTCAACGTTTAAGATGCAAAGATTGGTAAAACAGAGCTTAAGTATACCAATAAAAGTCAACGGTAATCCTTGGAGAGAAAGCAAGGACAACTGGTTCTAATTGAGTAATATTTTACAAGTCACACGACAACCAAGAGATTCCTGAATTGGGAAGAAAATATTACATATATGTTACTGTGAAAATTATACGACAACTAATTCTAATTGATTAATTTTTAAAGTCAGATGAAAACTAATCTTAATTGGATTATATTAAAAGTCACATGACAAACCTTCAGAGTCTGAGTAACCGCGTAAAAAGCATTATAGTTTAATCTATACGAGTTAAAAACTTCCTTGGCCCTAATTTTTTTCGAGGAAAAATAAAGCACCGTCTGATCCTATTAAGTTCGGGCGCGATTGAGGTTTCCGCTCTTAACCTCGTTCATTTTATATGATAAAATTTTAAGGTAGGAGAATTTTATAACATTATCTCAAACGGAATTATTTCTATATCCCAAGTACGTTTAAAGAAAAATGTTGTAGGTTTATATATATATATATATATATATATATATAAAAGTGAGAGATATGGTTATTTATTGAGTATTTTAAAAGACTATATTCTCTAATTGAAAATAATTAGGAAGCTTAACCTATTAGATACCCAACCTTTTCTATATATATATAAGGTAATATATAATAGTAATTGTGGAGATTACAACACAAGAGTATGACTATAATATTTTCTATATAGTATATGTTTAATATTTAAAAGTATATTTTTATCAAGATTTTATATTATTATTTTGCACTTAAAGTATCATTAATTCCTAAACTAAAACATGTTTTATAATATCATATCTAATACTATGAGATATATTTAATTTATGATAAATGTTCATCTTAAATGCAGGCCTATCACATAAATAAAAGAATTGATTGATAAATTTAACTTCTGAAATTTATAAGACAAGGAAAGGACCAAACTTAAAAAAGAGATGCTGGTTCAGTCCAAACTGGAACACTGTTCAGTCATTGGATCATAACTGGAGTTGTAGAACTTGGATTTATGTTGCTCTATATAGATGGAAAGCTAAGACATATGCCTAAAACTTTCATGGGAGTGCAAGATTCAAAAAGATTATTTTCAAGTTCAAATTGTAGCAACAATGGAGAAGTTTGAATCTGTCATGCAGTCCAAACACTATTCAGTATTCAGCCTATATCTCAAGTTGTAGAAATTCAAATGCACCGATTTGTTTTTTGTTGGAAAGCTGATGTAATTTTGTAGAACTTTCATACGACAATCTATTCAAATTTTGATGTTAGTGACACGATGAAAAGATTGATATCTTCTCTTAAGTGCAGAAGTGTTGAAGTAATAAATAACCCGGTAAGACCAGGTTCGAACCACAAAGAGGTTAATTGTACAAATTATAAACAACAATAATAGTAACAACAACAATAATAGTAACAATAATAATAATAATAGTAGTAGTAGTAGTAGTAGTAGTAGTAGTAATAAAGAAGAAGAAGAAGAAGTTGATAAGAACTTTGAGATGAAAGATTAACTTAAGGATTAAATAATGATAATAACAAATGTCAAGGTTAGAGGTTCTACTAATGGTATGTCAAACAAGTATAGTATAAACTTTTATTATTCAATTGGAAACCACACACAAAGGAGGTTCCAATCTGATTATAGATTGTTAACATAATTACATTAGTCATCTTATTCGATTAATGATAATACTTGTAAATCTCGTCAAGCATTCATGATTATAACTTATGTTAACAACAAATCAAGTTCTTTTCATAGCTCAGGTGTCAGTTATACCATATAGTATGGGCTATAAAAGTGCCAAGCATTTGTTGTACCAAGTGTTATACAACATAAATCAAGATTAGTCATTTAACAAGCAAAGTATTAAAGAGTGACATGACTAAAAGATTGATGTCTTCTCCTAAGTGCAGGAGTGTCGAAATAATAAATAACCCGGCAAGACTGGGGTCGAACCACAAGGAAGTTAATTGTATAAATTATAAATGATAATAGTACAACAACAATAATAATAATAACAACAACAATAATAATAGTAATAACAATAATAACAACAATGACAATAACAATAATAATAATAATAATAATAATAATAATAATAATAGTAGTAGTAGTAGTAGTAGTAGTAGTAGTAGTAGTAATAATAATAATAAAGAAAGAGAAGAAGAAGAAGATGATGAGAACTTGGAGATGGAAAATTAATGTAAGGATTAAACAATAATAATAACAAATGTCAAGGTTAAAGGTTCCACTAATGGTATATCAAACAAGTATAGTATAAACTCTTATTATTGAATTGGAAACCACACACAAAGGAGGTTCCAATCAGATTATATATTGTTAACATGATTACATTAGTGATTATAGATTGTTAACATGATTACATTAGTCATCTTATTCAATTAATGCTAGTACTTGTAAATCTCGTTAAGCATTCATGATTATAACTTATGTTAACAACAAATCAAGTTCCTTTCATAGCTCAGGTATCTGTTATACCATACAGTATGAACTATGAAAGTGCTAAGCATTTGTTGTACCAAGTATTATACAACATAAATCAAGATTAGTCATTTAACAAGCAAAGTATTAAAGAGTGAACAAGATAACAAATATAAAACACAAAATATGTTAGTAACAAATATTAAAGTTCATATTAAGTTTACATTATACTTATTCTTACACCATTAGTGTAACCTTTTCACCTTGACATAATTAACTTAGCTAGACATAATGAAAGAAAGAAAAATAGATAAACAAAATAAGAACATAAATAAGATAAAAGTTAACTAAGTAAAGGAAAGGAAATGAAAGGCATAACCTTGATATTAATGAAAGCAAAGCATAAACATTACAAAAAATGCAAAGAGAGAAAGCAAGAGCATGATGTTGATCTGGACACCAAGATGCCTAAATGCATGGCAAATGCCTCCTTTTATAGGCCAAAATTGGAAACTATTGATTTGATGACTAATTGATGAGTGGGTGACCAACTCTTGACTTGGTGACAATCCTTATCTTCTCTTGTCTGCCCAAAACGTCATTGATAACGTTAAAATTGGAGCCACTTGAAACATGAAAGTTGTAGGCAATTGTCTTAGCTTTCTTATGTAAACAATTCAGCTCATTTGGACTTCTAGAACTCCAGATATGGCCAAAATACTGAATAGTGCTCGGGTTGGAAGACAGATTCGGGCTTCTTTGTTGTTGCTACAATTTGGACTTGAAAATGGGTTTTTCAGTCTTGGGCTCCATATGAAAGTTGTAGGCCTATGTCTTACCTTTCCATCCATATAAAGTAGATCTAAATCTGAGATCTATAGCTCCAGATATGACCCAATTACCGAACAGTGTTCCGATTTGGATTGCACCGACATCTCTTTTCTAATTTTGGTCATCTTTTTGCCCTTGCAATTTAAGTTCTGAAGGTCATCAATCAAATCTTTCATTTATGTGATAGACCTGCATTTAAAATAAACATTTACCACAAATTAAAGGTATCTTATATTATTAGATATATTATTATAAAACATGCTTTGGTTAAGGAGTTGTTGATACTTTTAAGTACTAATCACACCCCCCAAGTAGCTTATTACTAGTCCCTAGTAATCAAAGCGTTAAAATAAAAAAACAATTTGCAAGTTCCACAAAGCAAGGTATTCATCATTTAACTTCCATTAATCTATCCAGATAAACAAACTCTCGTTAAATTTATATACATGCTCAATACCTCTTAACAAGATATTCATAAACCTTGTTTTTGTGCTCAATGTATCAACACATAATTATGGGGCTTTTCTTGGAAGAAAACAAAATTTTTGTTCTAATGTTTAAGGTTAACTTCCTTGGGTTGGGATTATTATTTTTGTCTTCTTTTTTTTCGTTTTTTCTTTTTTTTTTTCTTTTATTTTTTAAATATATATACATATAATTTAAAAACACCATGCATCTTTAACCCATGTAACGAGCTTTCGGCTAATGACTCCCAGACCAGTTGGTCTTAGGGCATTAGGTGTTAAGACACCCCTACGAGCTTAGTAACTCGGGTCGTAGATACTAATATGTAGATAGTGCAATGTTTGATTTTCTTAAGCTTTTCTCCTCAACCCATGTAACAAGCGTTGGGCCAATAGCTCCCAAGTCAGTTGACTTTAGGGTATTAGGTGTTAAAACACCCCTTCAGGCTTAATTGCTTAGGTTAAGGAGGCTACGAAACCAAACTTATCTACATTTTTATTATTATTATTTTTTTTTCTTTTTTCTTTTTTTTTTTAATTATATACAATCCCTTTCCCTTAGTTGTTACCTTTAACAAAAGAACATAAATAATGTAATAATCCAATATGCAACCCACAATCATATGTTAAAGTGTGTGTGTGTAAATTAAGGTTTAAGAATACATGTTAAATAAGTATATGAGCAGAATTAAGTGATAATAATACGAGAGTTTGTAAACCTGAATATTTCAAGAAGTATTATAATAGACCTTGTTAAGAATGGTTACTAAGATGCGTCTCAAGAGTCACTTTAACGAAAGAGCTCCTTTACTCTGCCATCCTGTAACAACAATTATGCACATGCTTTATGAAATAAAAAATAATTTTTTTTATCAACTACTACTCTTTTCCCCCAACCAAAATGAGACATTGTCCTCAATATTTAAATGTAGAAAGATAGAGTATAAAGATATCACCTGAAATAACGAACAATGACAAACCTGAAACACACTGAAACAAAAATAAGAAATAACAAAACACAATAATAAAACCAAAAGACACAAAAATTCACAAATGAAGGCTCAAATCCAATCTAAGCTTTTTACGGCTTTTCTTAGTTGACCAATTTATGCGACTCATGGAAGGATCAATTACAGGAATGAAGGATCAATTCACAAAAACTCATTTTCTTTCCCAGGACTAGATCCACCAAAAACATAAATATTTTTTATATGATGACCTGAGGAACTTGCCATTTCTACACACTTCTGTATTTGTTGAATGTATGGGTGGAGTAG